CAATATGGTTCATGGGGTCATGAAGAGTCGGACACGACTTAACGACTGAACAACAACAAGTGGATAGCATAAGCCAAATTTAGATCTAAACTCTAAAGCCCAAATTTCAGATATGGCACAACTCCATGGATACTAACATGTAGAGTTTCAATCCCATTCTTATCAATATAATTTCCATAAAAAATTCTAAAACATTCCTTCCAGCATTCCTTCACTTCTATTTCAGCCTATGTTATGTCACCACTTTTATTCCTAATTCCATTCCCTCTGCTGGAGGATCCCTGTTTAGCTTTGTTGTTCCACATTTAAATAAGTAAGTGTGGAGTTTAGAACTTTCAGAGTGATTGACCTCCAATATTTAAACAATCGGAAACATGGAAGTGAACATTTGGTCTCTGTTTATCATTCAGCAGACGATTCTCTATCATCCCAGCTATGATTTTAGAAGGATGGTGACCAAAGCTCAATTATGGATCAGTTAGCTTTCTTTTCAGTTTTTTTTCTGTTTGTAATATTTGAGTAAAATAAATTAATAAAATTTTAAAAGATCATAGTATCTCATACTTTTCATCAGAAAACATACAACTTCTTCCCTTGATGAGTAAAACAGCAGGGCTACCTAAAGGATATCTGACTGAATTTTAATAAACGTTAGCTCAATGAGCCATCCCTGCATAAGTTGGAACCTTTGTTTTGCATGCCTTTCAGATGATGATAGGCACTTTAGGTCCCCATTTGTGGACTTGTTCGTGACCCCAGAAAACCAGTCAGTTCAATTCTAGATTCTATCCTGCAGGAACAACCAGAGGAGATGGTCTGATGAGAATCCGGTCAGACCTTTCTCTACAATTGCTCCCTCTGCAGCTGCTACCAAATATTCTCCAGTTCATAAATGGCCAGGTGTGACCAATCCACAAAACATTGCTTCTGCAGTCTGCTACTCAGATGAGTGAAATATTAGCCGTGGAAACTGCTAATCTGAAGCGCTGCCACTGGCTCAGGCATCAGTAATCTAAAGTCAGATCTGGCTTCTGCAGAAGAAAGACAACCATGCCACCTAACTGACAACAACTCCACTAAGGGGACAAAACCTCCTCTATGGCTTTGATGCTTCAACCAAAATCAGGTGTTCACCCATCCATCCATCCATCGCTGCCTAGAGTCACTTGGATTGAGATGGGTGGCTATAGAAATTGAATGAATGAATGAATACATACATACATACATACATACATACATACATACATACCTGA